ATGATTTATTTTCAATGCGGGTTTTCGTTGAGTTTTCTGTCATTTTTTTCCAAACAAGTCGGAAAAAATTGATAGTGATAAAATTGACTGAAAACGCATGAAAAAAATCGTGACAATGAATTCGAAAGTTAAACATTTTTTAGGTTACGGTAGTTGTCGTTGAGGGAAAAGCCTGAAAGGGGTTTTCTTCCACCTAGACTTCCATTTTTTACTGTGTTCCAGAGTATCTACAGTAATCCTCAACTATAGCCATTCTCTAAAAACACAATACTCCATCTTCTATTCCAAATCCTAATCGTCCTAATTTATCCCGTTTCACTAAATCTAGACATTCCCATCTTCTTCGTTTTCAAATCAAAAATTCAGATTGTGTATTTAGTAAATGAGTCTATCACAAATCTTCCTCCTCTTTTCTCATTCTCAACACAATATACTGTCCTCCCATTTGAAATGAACAAAGCTGTCTTCTGCCGGTTAATGTTGAAAGAGAGATTCGTGACGACTACATAATAAGGGTGACTCGCGGAGTAAACGATCATCCATCAGCGCGGAAAAGGAAAAAAGGGCAACAAATGTTTCCATATGGTTGCAAGGCCACTATGTGGTCTCCATTGTTTCAAATCGGGAACCAACTCGAATTGCGTATGTGATACAGTAACCCTTTTCCAAGTCATAATCCGATCAAAAACATCTGCTCCCCCTGCTTCAAGTTACGCAATCTCGACATTATTTTTCTCTTGCACCCGAGAGAAGAGAGTAGTAAACCAATTGTGTTCGCCTTTTTGATGGACGACACAGAAACTAATGAATGGAAACAGATGAAAATACAAAGGAATGGAAGCAGGAGATTAGGTGGATGGATGGCAAAAAAGGAATTGGATTTTGGAATCGAAAGGAAAAGAACACTACTCGGATTAGTTAGTTTTTCCTCGCCTTCTTTTTTCTAATCTTTGTTTGTACAACATGTCGAAAGAAAAATGATGGAAGTGGTGATGAGGGAAGAGCTGGAAAACTGAAAAATGGAATGAACACATTTTATGAGGATTCTTGCAAAAAGAGCATTGTGTGTGGGGATATGAGGGAGTCAGAAGTAGGTATTTCACGAAAATAGTTAGAAGTTCAAATTCTGAAAATCTGACTTCCCTCGAAAATTCTTTCGCGTTCTGATTATTACAATATCAGTCTTGTACAAAACATCGGAACTGTGGAAGAGTAACGCCGGTGTCCGTGGTGCAACCTGAAATATGATTTTAGCAGTGAAAACGAGAAAATGAATACGGCAAGTGAAAGATATTTTTAGGTTACGGTAGTTGTCGATGTAGGATCTTCGGGCACGATCACCGCTGATTCTTTGTACAATAATAACATTTCTGAAAACAAGGCTCTAAAAAATTTTGGGCCGGGCTACGAAAATAATTTTTTTCTGGTAGCTGGTCTGAAACTTATGAGTTAAATACTTTAAAACTCTTCCATTCAGTAACTTTTATTTGAAACAATGACCGTTTACGGCTCTTTCTCAAGAGTTTTTTCAACCTCGATATTATGAAAATATAGATGTTTCAGCAAATTTCAAGCTCTTTTGTCTTTTTTTGAACTTCAGGTTTTCAATATGACTGTATTAATAGTAAGTTTTAAGATTTAGTTTCTTTTCACCCGGGGGCGGATAAACGGGAATTGGAAACCCCTGTTACCGTATTACCGAAGATTTCCAGGGCCCGCCCCGGGTTCTCCAAATTTGAAAATTGTTTACAAATTTTTTTGTGAAAAAAAACTATTTTTTATGGGCACTTTTATCTTGAAAAGTTTTTTACTTGACAGAAAAATTGTCCATTTCTTCAGTTGATCCCGAAATTTTTTTTGAAAAGACAGGAAAATTTTTTCTGAAACCCCGGGTCTTGAAAATTCTGAAAAAGCCCGGCCCGGCCCGTTGCAAGTATGATTCCCTCTAATAGAAGCCCATCCAAACTGTGAACTTTCAACTCAATTATTCCTGTGATTTCACAGGAAGCGAGCTGATTGAACTCACAATTGACGGTTCAGGTGTGTTTCTATTAAAGGAAAAACGGGTTGTCAACCAGTTTTGAAGGTTTTGTAATCAGGAAACTGTAATTAAATGGACAGCTGCCTCTGAACTTTTTTTTCATCAAGTATTCAAATTCTTCTCTTCTGAGCCTAACAATTATAAACCATTCGAGGTCAATCTGTCTCTAAGTATCATCGACGTATCCGTGTCGAGACAGGTGTTCCTTCTCATTCTTTTCATTAAACTCCCAAATCCGACCATAAAAGTGCCGTAAATCGGAGAAGCTTTGGGCGAGAAAAAGGTCGGCAAGTCGAAAGAGGAAGACACGTCCTTAATCGGCATCCTTCTCCTCCAGGTGTCTTTTTCGCTTTTTCCCCTTTTCTCAACTACCGTATAAATGGAAGAGTGGACGATTTCGAGAGAGTACAGACATGGCAGATGCTCGAGTGCCTTTTTGATGGCTTCGACGCAAGAATGGTCGACAAAGCAATGTCGAGAAGCGAAGAAGAGAGCATGCACAATCTCTTATTAGATACTATTACTTTTTGAGGATCAGATGGGATTGGGAAATGGAAAAAGGACAAAGAAAATAAGTTTGGGGGGGGAGGGGATGTTTAGTTAAAAGTCAAATCGACCAGGGACTATGGGAAATGCCTACATATCAACTTCGATTATATATATATATATATAACATGTCAGAAATCTGCCAACTGATAAAATGTTGGAGATATGATGATAAACAATTTATCAGTTGACAACTTAGTTATGTCTTCAGAAGAGACCCCCAACTTTGAACTTTGAGCCAATATATCAATTCCTGTTAAATATATTAAGAAGTTGTCAACTGATAAATTGTTTATCATAATATCAAAATCGTTTTGTCAGTTGACACATTTTCTATATCTCGCATAGTAATTGAGATAATTGAGATCAAACTTGACATGTGGAGTGGCAATAGTTTTTTTTCTTTTTTACTTGTATTCTTTTAATTGGGTCCTTTAAGAAATAAATGGGTCCTTTAAGAAATTATTGAAAAATCTTCCTTATTAATAAAACGCTAGAGGCGTCTGTCCGTCCTCGTGTCCGTCTGTGGATTTTTGAAAAAATTGAAAAATACATATATATTTACGTGACCCTTTTATTTAGAAAAAGTGAGAAACGAAGCGACGAACATTTGAAAAAAAATAGATTGAATCGCGCCGAAGGCGCACCAGCTTGCTGGTATTAAATACAAAAACTACAGTGTTGGTTAAACTAATTTTTCAGAATTGTTCCAGTTTTTCGGATCTTAATATCATTCTGAACATTGTCGACTAGTACTCCCATCTCAGCAATCGGAATTCATCACAAAAGAGGCACTCTTATTTCAACATCATGATTTTTATCATTCAAAAATCCGAATATTTTAATAACTTGTAACTCTGAAACAAGTTTTTGCTCTTTCCCTTATTTCTTCCTCCTTCTTTTTTATTCCCCTTATCTAGCCACGTCATCTCCTTCTTCTATTTTTCCAACAACTTTACGGCCATCTTAACGCCTTCACACTTCTCCATCTTCTGATTCATTTTACCGCAACACACCCCGTTTCAACAACCGCTCAACTAATTGAGCTTTTTTCTCCTGGGATCTTCTGCGACTCTTCGTCTCAAACACTATTTCATCTCTCACCGGTCCCAACTTTTATCGCGGCGTCAAACACACTGAGACTCTCTCTCTCTCGAGAAAAAGGATTTGTGCAGAAGTAAATGAGAAACTCGAAGAAGACAAAAGTTAGAATTGAGAAATTTTGTTGAAAAGGGGACGAATTCGAAAAAAAATAGTAGAAAATTTAGAAATTCTGAAAGGAGAAACACTTTGAAATTTGGGGTGGAAAGGGGGCAAGAGTACCGGAAAGAAGTGACAAATGAGACACTTGATGGCAGGAAATTGCATTAAAGGAGCACAGGAAACAACTACTGTATCGTGGATTCGAGAACGAGAGAAGGGAAGATTTTGAAGAAGGGAAAACGAATTTGGGGACTGGTGTAATAAGGATATCTTCCAGCTTTAGAAAAATTTAAAGGGTTTTTTATCCAGAGTATCTAAATTTACAGTATCGGAAGATTTACAAAAAGATATTTTCAGATGATTCTTGGCCATTTTGACCATTTTCAGAAGTGTAGATGCAGGAAATAGGCTGGTAGACGAATAAGATAGGAACGAATCTGTATTCTGAACAACCACAGTTAAAATGACAATCTTTAGGACAGAACTCAAAACTTCGGAAAATACCAAAAAGTTTACCAGGAGTCCAGTACAATACATATAATTGAAGAGTTTGACTATCAGAGATTATTGAAGCTGAAATTTTCATACAATTCGAACGTATGACACACTCTTTTTTTTGGATTACTGTAGTTTAGGATTACCGTAGATTATTGTATTTTCAGCAGAGATGTCCGGTTTCCGGATTCTACAATATGTGTTTTTAGAACTTTTCTGACCATTTGGGAAACTCAAAATTCCGGATTCCGTATTCGGTATTCCGGATTCCGGGCATTTTTTCATTCCGGCTTCCGTATTCCGGATTCCGGAAAATTAGTTCCATTCCGTATTCTGGATTCCGAGAAAATTATTTTATTCCGGATTCCGTTTCCGTTTTTCAAAAAAGGCATTCAGGAAATCTCTGATTTTCAGTTTTTTTAGATTTTCGCGTTTCAGGATTACTCCAGTTTCTTATTGTGGAATTTTCAGAACTTCTGGATTAGTGTAGCTAAGGACTACTGTATATTACTGAAAATTTCAAATCTGAAGATTTTTGGATATCAGGATTACTGTAGATCATTGTAATTTTCAATTTGTAGATTTTTCAATTTGAAAATTTCAAAAACTGTAGTATTAAAAATACATTTATTTCATCGCCTTTTTTTTTACAAAAAAAGACACAAATGACGAATTTGAGTGCTCCCTATTAATTGACAAGTTGAATAAGAAGGAATCAACTAATGACACAACATCCAGTGGTCTTCTGTTTCTCTGGTTTTGCCTGTGGAGTACTTGCGGCGGCCGGAGGAGCTGCCGGTGTCAATTTGCTCTGAATCTTCTTCTCTGACTGAGCATTTCCTGGAGTCCCCTGTCCTTGACCTCCTGATCCTTTCATCGATTCATCCTTTTTCACTTTCTTGCTCATTTCTGTTTCCTTTTTCTCTTGTTGCTTTCGACTTTCCGTCTTGTTCTTTACTTCTTTCTCTTTCTCTTTTTTTTTGACTTCTTCGGAAAGTGATTGAGTCTTATGTGTTACCTGAAACCATACAAAGTAATACAAAAACCCTCTTCCATTTCTTACCAATCTCTTCATTTCAGCTTCCTCTTCCTTGCTCGTTTCCTTACTTTCCTTGCTCTTACTATCCGTCGTACTACCTTTCTTTTCTTTTGTCTTCATTTTTTTCTTCTCCTTCACTGGATCATCATCTTCACTCAGACTCAACTCCACAATATCATATCCTTTACGCTGCATCACAGCTGCCGCCATCTTTTCGTTTTTAGCGAACTGAATGAAATTGGGTTAAAATTATAATTTTTAAAAAAAAATTTTTAAAAGTTTACCTTGCCGAAATGGTCAATATAGATGTTTCAACCAAAGAAAATGATCAGAACCATCAGGGGTTTAAGAGTCATGGATTTTGAAGTGGAAACGGTAGTTCACGTAATTTTTTGAACTTCTGTAAATGATATGTGAGAAGCGTGGGGACCTGGTATTTATATGGATAAGAAAGAAAGATATAAGAGAGTGAAGCTCCACCGGTTTCCAATTAAGGGGACAAACTTTTTGAATTTCCTGAAAATTATGATTGGTATAATTCCCATCTGATTCTAATAGTTGATATCAAAACTAAGTTTCACAGTTCCGATGCCTTCCAAACTTTTGAAAATACACAAGTAGTTTGCAATTTATGAAAACGGATAAAATTTAACAAGTTTTCAGACTTTCGAAATTTCAGAATTTTAGGTTTTCAGACTTTCAGAAACAGAAATTTCGAATTTCTGACACTCGCAATCTCGGAGTTTCCGAATATGAAAGTCTCAGGAATTTGAGATTCTCAGACTTCCAAAAACTCAGAATTTCAAGAACTCAACATTTTAGAAGTTCAGAGATTCAGAATCTCAAAAATTATGAGTCATAATCTCAGAATTTCAGAATTGCAGATTTTCAGATTTTCAGAATGTCAGGATTTCTGAATTTTAGGCTTTTCAGAAGTTTCAAAAAAAAACCTTCAGAAATTCAGGACTTTCAGAATAAGAACTTCCGATTTTTATCGATTTCATTGGCTCCACCATTTCTTCAAACCGACTTGAACCCACTATCTAGATCTCAGATCCTCTGGCGAACTACAGTAATCCACAAATCTCGTTACGGCTTCCGTCTCATCTCAAGAACTCGTTTCTTCCTTTTGCTCTTTCGATACTTCTTTTCCTTTTCACCCAAATGGGACCCATATCGAAGTGCCACTTTCCGGTTTTCTCAAATGTCGATATATTGCCTTTTCGAATGCGATGTCTTCTTCTTCTTCTTCTTCCACGGAAACAAACACTTCTCAATTCCTCATTCTTTTTGTCATTTGGTGTCAGATGAGGCAAGAAAAATAGCACAAGGATATAGAATAGAATAGAAGCAAGGGACTGTCATATAATTATCTGTGATACTCCTTCTCTTTTTCTCCATTGACCGTATGTTTTTTTGGGGCGAACAAAAGAAAACAAGAGAATATCGGATTTCCGGTGAAGAAGATCTTATCTCATGTATACGCAACACGTATTGCACATGATGATAATTGGGTTAGAAAAACAACAGTTCGATGGGAAAATTGGTTAGATATGAGAAAAAAGGGATTCTAAGAAAATGGAGTTACAGTCTAATGTGTTTTTTCGAAACGCAGAACCTGATGTTTCGGAACCACGACGTTTTAGAACTCGGAATTTGAGAAACTGATGTTTCAGAACCCGACGTTTCGGAACTACAACGTTTCAGTACTCGATATTTCAGAACACGCCTTTTTTTAGAACTCGAAGTTTCGAAACCACGACGTTTTAGAGCTCGACATTTGAGAATCTGATGTTTCCGAACACGACGTTTCAGAACATTTTCTGCTTTTTGCTTAATGTGTTCGAACACCAGATGAGTATCGTTCATTTTAATGTGTTATTCTGAACTGTGTGAATTGGAACTTTTATGAATTTGAGCGTCACTTCAACTGCTTTCTAGGTCCAGAAATCCCAGATTTGGGCGCTTTGGGCGCGGCATAACCAAAGATATTTGTACGTGGTCACTTTCCCTTATCTCTTCCCAGATCTTCCAACTCTGCCTCATAAATACCGCTGAAAACTAGTAAATCCTCAATTACTATAAATATTGTAATAAGGAACTCTCTGCACGATAAGCAGTTCATCGGAATTATGAGTGTAGCGCCACCGAGTATTCAAAGGGGACCAATTGAGAAGGAGGTTTACTACCATGGATTCTTGCCAAGAGAAGATGTGAAGACAGTGTTGAAGAGCAACGGAGAATTCCTCATTCGTATTTCGGAACCACGGAAAGGAGAGCAAAGATCATTCATTCTCAGTGTGATGCATAATAATCCACCGAGTCCTGATGAGGAAACATGGATCAAACATTTCGTCATCAAGTATGGTGAGAACAAGTACTTCATTGAAAAGAACGCTTTCATGTCGGTTCAAGAATTGGTTGATCATCATTTAAAAACGAGAGATTCAGTGAAGGACGAGGTCTATCTTCTGAAGGCCTTGCCACGTCAATCATGGGAGTTGGACCACGAAAACATTGAGATTCTACGAAAGTTGGGAGAAGGAGCGTTTGGAGAAGTGAGCATGGGAAAGCTGAAGTTTCGGAAAGGAGGGAAATCTGTGAACGTTGCTATCAAACAAGCGAAACTATCGAATTTAACGAAGGATCAAATCAAGGAATTCATGGGAGAAGCAAGAGTTATGAGACAGTTCGGACATCCACATGTCGTTCGTTTCTACGGAGTTGCTGCAACAACTGAACCACTTTACATGGTGATGGAATTGGCAACAAATGGAGCACTCGATAGTTACTTGAAGAAGAATCCAGATTTGACGATCGAAAAGAAGAATGAGATGATTCTTCAGGCAGCATGGGGACTCGAATACTTGCACAGTAAACCTGTCATGCACAGAGACATTGCTGCGAGAAACTGCTTGTATGGAGATGGACGTGTCAAAATTTCTGATTTCGGACTTACTCGTAGTGGACACAGTTATCAGGTATCGTAGTCTGCCTAAGTGTCTGTTTATTCATTTTCATTTTCAGGCTGATCCCAACAAGAAAGCTCCGATCCGTTGGTTGGCAGTTGAAGTCATCCGACAGCGTCTTTTCTCTCTGAAGACTGATGTATGGGCGTACGCTGTGATGAGTTGGGAGATCTATAACAATGGAGTAGAGCCTTATCCCGGGATGATGGTTGCTGAAGTTGCGCAGAAAGTTTTGACTGGATACCGAATGGAATTGCCAGCTGACCTGAATCCAGAGATTAGAGCTCTCATCGTAAGTTTACTTCAATAGAGGTCCTAAAACAAATACAAATTTTCAGGGAAGATGCTGGGCTGACAGTGCTGATGAGCGTCCGTCGATGGCTGAGGTTGCTACGGAGCTTCAAAGATGCACTGGAATCATCAGACCGGATTTCGTGGCGTTGGAGAAGGAGATCAAGAAAGAGTTGATGCTGATGAACAATCTCACTAATAAATCTCATGTTCGTAAAGATAAGAAGACGAAGAGCAAGCCACAGATGCCGAAAGGAATGTAGTCGGGTCCTCTATTTTAGTCTTATAACCGTTGAATAAACTTTTTTCTGTGAATTTTTTCATCTTTTTTAGTCAAAATAAATTGGAGAATTCCCTTTTTCCTCCCCGGAAACAAATTTCTCTTTTAAATCCTAATTCTATGACGAAAATCATAAATTTATGTCCAAGTTTAAGCTTTCTAGCTCGCCTGGGAGCCGAGATACGGAACAATAAATTTTTTTGCAATATTTCAAGTTTTTCTAATTTTCTAAGAATTTTTTTCTAAGAACCCTTATGTTTCTGCCAATTTATTTTGTCTAAATTATGTCATCCTCCACCGGATTGTTTGAATATTTTAACTCAAAGAGGTTCTCAAATATTTTATAAAATTAAAAAATTAACAACCCGTTCAAATTAAGGAATAAAAAAAATAATTTATGGTGTCTCATAGTGACTATGGATCAGTTGGACTTCGTGGCAGAGATATTCACTGGGGACCACGTGGAGCACTTCCATCAGTTGAATGTTGTCTGATGTTAGGTAGACCAGATTCTGGAAAATGCGATTTTTCGGAAATTGACTTTTTTGTGTTGAGCGAAAAACATTCCATTATTCTCCTTACCGTTGTGGCTGACAATAGCATCATCATCTTGGCGATCCTAACAGCTGCATGACTCTCACTGGCATTCTGTGTTTCATCTTCCATCGGCTCTCCATAATCTTTCGAATTCACATGGTGATGAAGCATCCGAACAATTCGATTGCCAACATGTCTGACATGATCTTTTCCAGCTTGCGATAAATCAGCAAGTTCTGTAACTTCTGAAATAGATAATTCTCTTTTAACTAATCTACAAATAGCAGCTAGATTCTAGAAGCTTCTATACTTACCATCACTAAAAAGAATTACAGCCAGCATCAGAACAATTTCTGTTTCGTCTAATTGCAGTTCCTTGATTGGAATACTCAATGATTCAAACATTCTGCTACTGGATCCTTTGACATCTGGGACGCATTGAGATTCCGTTTGTCTTGGGAAATATGCTCCATTTGAGTAGCAGACTCCATCGCATCCTGCTTGAACTGTCCAGTTTGCACATAGCCACCAATGAAATGATCCGTATCGATTCTTAGCCAGAACGATCTGATCTTGAATTGACATTTGATTAAATTCTGGAAGAGCACGGAGCCAATCGGAAAACAGTACGAAATTCCTTCTCCATTCATCCATGACATCTTGAACAGTGGCGATTCTCTCTCCAGTTATAACTAAAGGAGTCCTTGGAAACATCATACCAGGATTGAAAAATGCATTCATAAATACCACTTTTGTAGCACATGTTTCTGTTTCCATCTTGATTTCTGGTTCTTCTTTTTTCACAACAGGATCTACATACGAACAAACTGCTCTATGCATTTCTACCAATTGCTCCGAAAACCTGGCCATTTCTGCTTCTATACTGGGCAAAGGGACTGCAAGATCCGTTGGTTTCTGCTCGTCTGCATCGGTTTGAATTTCCACCGAACACGTGTCTGGAGACGATAGATCTTTGTAATCGTCCTCTTCGACATCTTGGTTCTGATCTGGAGATCCTTTCTGTTCTCGTTCCGATTGGACGGCTCTTGGATTCATTCCAGCTACGAAGCATTGTTTCAGACGACAAGCTCGGCATACGTTACGGTGTTCTGGAAAAATGTTTTGGGTGGAGAAATGCTTTTGAGGAAATTCTGGGTTTTGTAATTTTTTGAATTACATAAATGTTCTAATCTTATATTTTTCAGAATTCTAAGAAATTTGAAAGTTTGCAGGCACTCTAAATTCGTACTACTATTGGCGTTTTTCCTGAGTTTTTAACTCTGGGGGGGGGGGGGGTTTCAGTAACATTTTTCCTGTTTTTTTTTTAATTTTCGGAGTTACAAAAATCTTATCAGTTTTTTTTTGGAACGTCTTGTAAAAGCGCTCAAATGCGAATGAATGTTCCATTGGAAAAAGGGCAGGTATTTTGAATTATTTTGAAAGACGCACCGGGACAAATTATGTCAAAAAATAATCTCGCCAAGAAGGAATGTCTTAAATTTCAACTTTTTTCATTTTAAAATCTGGGCCCACTGGGTCAAACCATGCCGAGCCGGGAAAGTAGTGGGCCCTAAAAATCTCCGGCTCTTACAGTAAACCGACAAAATTTTGAACTACAAACACACTAAATATGTTCTGTAAATATGAAACAGTCCAAGATTTTTTTGTTGTCTGTCCACAAGAGATCACAATTTGTGTGTGTTTTCGTTTACTTTTCCTAATCCTCATCATCAAAACACAACCATTTCTCTTTTCTTTTTTCTCACCTTTTGCAATAGCGCATCGTCCCTCGAAACGACATAAGTACTGACGATTGTTCCAAACACTGCAATTAAATGTATATGTACATCTTAAAACGGTGAAGACTTCAATGATACAAAAGATCATATGATCGGCTAAAAAGAGGAGGAAACAAATACAACATTTCGGTCTCTTTGAGAAGATTCACGTATCAATAGGAAGAAGGAGAAGAAGGAAAAGGATACAGATATGGGATATGATCAAATTGAACTTTCGGGAGACAAACCGAGATGAAAACACAAAAGGGATAGTGTTTTCTAGTGAACCGTAGTCACTGGTTAATGATTTTTGTAAGGTTACGGATGAAGGACAGAACGAGATATCAAAGAGATACTGATTACTGTAGATTCATTTTCTCGGACCTAAACGGCTCAAAAGTGTTTGGGCTGCTAAAAATGGACCCTCCAAGCTTTTCCTGCTCATCTAAACAAACTACAAACCACGTTTCGAAAAAAAGTGTGTTTGTTCTATTCTGTGTATGTGATTCGTTTCAAATACTTATGGGTTTGATCACATAAAAATCGTGTTTTCTGTATTCTAAAAGTCTCATCATGTATAATTCCAAAACGAGTCCAAAGTGAGACTCCAGTGACTGTTTTTGGACATTTTTGGAGTTTGTGATTCGTGAGAAAAAACACTTTCTGCAAAATATTCTAGAGTTTACTGACGTCAAGAAGGACATGAATGAGTATGTGACTTTTCCTGCCAAAAATTAGAAACGAAAATCAAAATTCAAAGTGTCAAATTTACAAAAAGTTCGAATTTTCCAGGGGTGCAGTAATCTGAAAAACTGTGGGCCCAAAATTTCGGAAACTTTTTCAAGCCATCTCGGAATGAAGAAGGCGTAATTTTTCATCGAAAAAAAAATGAGAATTTTCAAAAATTGAGGAATTTTGAATCAAAAATTCGTTTGGTCAAAATTTTGGCCATCTAATATTTTCGAAAGTATGTTATTTAAAAAGGGTTATTTTCTCTTTTATATTTTTTGAAATCAAAAATAATTTTTCAAATTCTGGCTCCGCGTACCGTAAAACCTGTAATAGAAGGGCCTTTATCCCTCTGTTATAGAAAGGCTTTTAACTTTGATCCTGTACATCTCATTTCACGTCAAAGATATGAGGAAGTGGTCAATTGATAAATTGTTTATCATAATATCGAAAACATTTTGCCCGTTAACCAATTATAGATATCTGTCACAGGAACCAAGATAAATTGGCTCAAACTTAACAGTGTGGACCATTGAATGTGTGTGAAAACTTCTTCATGCACCTCTTCTAAAGTCCAAATTGTCCAAATTTTGTAGTTTTCGTAGACTAGAGACTTCTCTTCCTTTCAAAAAAGTCCAGAGTGTTTAGCTAATCTCTCTAATATTATATTCTAGTTCTTCTCCCTCCCTTGGTGTCGTTTTCAATTCATTTATTTTTCTTCCAATCACTGATCTTCTTATCTCTTCATGTCCCTTTCCGATCATTTGATCGTTTAACCTTTTCGCTACTATTTTCATGCATATATTTGTATACAGACTCTATTCTTTTGTTTCTCTTCTTCTTCTTCTTTTTCTTTTCCTCCTCTCCTTTAAAAGTCGGCAAAGTCCAAAAATCAAAAGATCAGAAATACCTGCGACGGAAGAATCCTTTGCATCCATTACAAGCGTTCACTCCATAGTGTTTACCGAATGCTTGATCCCCACAAACGACGCATATCAGATTCACCGTTGAGTTTTTCCTTCGACCTCTTCCGTGACCTGGAAATTGATAAAGAAACATTGAACTTTTGTACAAAGAACTTTTGAAAGAGAGTCTAGTTGTTTCAATGAACGTATAAGTGTACATAAACGTCATATTTTACCAAGAGACCGTAATCAGAAGGGTTTCTTAATTTGCATTGATATGAGAACCAATTCACAAAATACGGTTTCCGATTCCACTGATTTTTGAAAATCGGGGCGTTTGCTAGTTTGAACTTTTGATTTTTGTGTCTATTATTTTTTTCCTAGACCCATTTTCCATTTCCCCACGTGCCATTCTAATTTGACATACATCGAAATATAACATGATCTGATTAGGAATGTTTTGGATGATACCGTAATCGCATTGTTGTTTTTTTTTGGGAAGGAGAGACATTAAGTTGTAAGATCACAAAAATGGATCATTGAGTAGAGTTCAAACAGAGCAAAATTTGGAGAAGATCGAGATTGAATAAACCATACTCATCTGGATTCACGAGTACAGTGTTCAAAATGATAGATTTGGAAAACCAGAGTACTGTGTTTCCTCTAATTAAGCCGACCCTATACACACACTTTGAGCTCAATTATTTCAATTTCTATAAGAGATATCAAAAATATGTCAACTGATAAAATGTTGGTAAACATACAACAAATAATTTACCATTTAAACGTTTTAAAATATCTTTTGAAGGAACCGAGATAATCAAAGTTGCCGTCCCCCGTTCGATGCACCATGTGGCGATGGGCTTCTACTAGAGAAAATATAGTTTTTGAGAAAAAAGAGGATTCTAATAGTAATTAGAATGAATTTCAAATTAAAAATAAGACAATTTCAAAGTTCTCTTTCAGAATCCTCGGATCAAATCCAGTATCGGATAACAATACCATAAAATCTCTAATAGAGTTGCACCTTGAGCAATTGGCTCAGCTAACTACCGCACGGGAAGTGTAGGATCCAAAAGCTAAGAAATCGTACCTGTAGACGTCGTACTTTGTGCTGTAGAAGCTGTTGATGGTGTCGGCATACTAACAGGTAATGAATAGTGATGAATAGCCGCAATGCCAGCTGTAGTTCCTTGGCTAAAATGGACGGCGTGGCGTAGAATATCGTCGATGGCGCTCGACGAGAGTGTTGAAAACATTGTGGAGTACCTGTAGAGATTTAGAGAAGTCAAGGAATTGGGCGGAGCTTATGGAAAAGGAGAAGAAGCAATCGGAAAAGAGAATCAGAGGGGAGCAACATTTTGATCGGAGAATAGAGATTTTGTGACACATCAGAGTGGAGGAGTGTCTAGAACTGTATTTCATGGGGTAAGACCAGAGTTCTGTTTCGTTTCTCAGTCTGCGTCTCCTCTTTAGAATAGAGAGAAGAGAAGTTTGCGAGGATTTTGTAGCCTTTTGAAAAGTATGCAAATAATATATAATATAACAATGAAAAAGGGCTCTCGGTCTCTTTCCGGAGCACAACTGTTTTGTTGGTCACTCGGTCAACGACGCCATAGTTTTGGATGCGATGACGTGGAAATACTTCCAATTGAAGAAGGAAATGCTTCCTAATTAAGGTGTAGTCTAACTACAAACATAAAGGATCAGATCACAGAATTGAAGAAGTGAACCAGATGTGTCTAGAACTAGAGAATTTCCAGGAAAAGGCGGGAAGCTGGGAAAGATCAAGAATGGGTTGTCTAAACATTTTAATAGATTTCTATGAATTGGGTTTACTAGGAACCAAAATATGAAATATATATTCTGGTATGAGAGAATAATGAGAAAGTGGTAAGATCTAGAACATGTTCTCAAAATTGAGACTCAAAAAGGTAAAGTTTTGAAACTAAAGAATTGTGTGCAATTTTTTATTTGGTTATCCAGAAACGTTTAAATTTTTATTCTTCAGAATTAGCTTTATGCTTTTGCAGTTCTGGATATTATAAAAAGCAAAGTAAAATAAATTCTCTCTCTCTCTCTCTCTCTCTCTCTCTCTCTCTCTCTCTCTCTCTCTCTATCTCTAACATTTTCGAAAAGCCATTAGACCACCCATATTTTCATAATGACAATTTGAGACTTGATACCAGCCAAATATGATGACATTCATAACTAATTTAGCATTTCAAACTTTGGTATCCGCCCTAAAAACATCACTTTGCAAGTTCCAAAAAAATCACCAACCTCTTATCAATAGCTCTAAGTGTTAAAGAAGGAGTCGCCCTGTATCAATGTATGAGTTTTGGACAGAAGGAGACATTGATAGGAGGTTATTGTTTCAAAAGATCAAAACTTTCATTTTTATTCTTTTTCTTTTTTGGGATGGAAACGGAAATGATGTGGTGAGTATTATCTGTGGGGCACATTTTTCAAAATATGGACAGATGCCAAAATATAAAATTCAGACAACCGAAAAATAGTCCGAAAACCTGGAAGCTTCACGAATTCGCAACTTGTTCTTGATGGGTCAATCTAATACTCACAGTACTGTTTCAATTTTGGTATTGAATACCGTAAAACCTGTAATAGAAAGGTCCCTTAACTTCAAGCAAAAGTGTTACGGTAAAACCTGTAATAGGAGGGCTCCCACAGTGTCAAGTTTAAGCTCTATTATCTCAATTCCTATGCAAGATATCAGAAATGTGTCAAGTGACAAAAAACTTCTGATATTTTGATAAACACTTTATCAGTTTACTCTTTTTATATTTTTTACAAGAACCAAGATAAATTGGCTCCAATTTAAAAACTAGATGGCTCTTCTATTACAGGTTTCATGGCAGTGTAATATAAATCTAAACCAGGCTGCAGACAGCAGATGAATAATTGAACTAAAAACTTTTAAGTTTTTGACATTTGCTAATTCCGACGCCAGCTTTTCAGTCTCAGTACACTCAGATCAGTTTATTGACTATCCCCAAAAATTGTTTCATCATCAAATCACCACTCTTTCACTAATTTGACATACAGTACCAATAATCATCATATTCTGATTCGTGTATCTTGTGCTGATCTACTCCACCCCTCTCCATCGTAAAACTACAATCACAACCTTCACAAATTCTCTTTGTCACAATACACAGATGATGACAAAAAGTTGCGCAAAAAGTGGAGGTATATAGTGTCTCTCGGGATACAAAACCCCTCCGATCTTGTGCCAGCTTACGAAATACGAAATGTACTGGTTGGGATGACACAGAACAAAATGACAGTAATCATAAAACACAGGTCACAAATGGTTTTGAAGGAGAAGCAGTAAAAAAATCATAAAGAAGAAGAAGAAGAAATATGGGTTTAGATGAACATTTTGATCCTTTTTCCCGAGACTACCCTTGTATTTTGTAGTTGATGTTACATGCTCTACAGTTCACTCAATGCCTGTTTCCGTGAAAAGTCAACAATTAATACCAAAAGGAAAAATAAAAGAAGAAAGAAAAGAGAATTGAGAATGTAGGAGACCTGTAGTTTGTGTCCGTATCCAAATTCGAACAATTGTAGACAAGGGAAAGAAGAAATCGAGAGAAAAAAGAAGAGATAAATGATAAGAGGAGATATAAAGAGATCGAAAAGATACAGGTTATCAGGGTTGATATTATAGCTGTAGTCTGATTGTATTCGGACGTTCAAAATGGAAAAAATTAGAGTAGGAAAACTCAAAAAGTACGGTTTAGATAATAGCTCATCAACGAAATAAATAAATAAAAACTGTCTATTTTTGTTGGAAATCTGCTTGTTGTTTAGATTTAAAATATAAAAAAATGATTCTGGATTTTTTATAATAAAACCATTTTGACCGTAGTTATGGAAATTTCCAACTTCAACGAACTCTGTATTTCCCATAATGTGAATTCAGGAAAAAAAGCGCTGATGGCACACCAGATCTACTCACTAAGTACCTCCACTTCAAAAATCTGAATACGGACCTTTGAATTCTACAGAGAAATTGAAATTGTCAAAAAAAATTGGCACAATGAAACGATGCATTTATGTATGACCCATAGAAAGGTGAATTCATTTTCTTGATCTCCGTTTCAAGAAGTTATTTATCGCTTTTCGGAATCTTTCATAGTTTGTGCCGTCTGTAGATCTGTAGATGGATACTAGGCCGTACAAGTTGAATAGAAACTGAAAAGTGATACTGTATGGTCAAAAGATCAATTGAAATTTGATCAAACTGTCCAGGTTTCAGAGGGTCATGGAAAAAAAAACAGAAAAAAGAAACAAGAAAAATGAGTCATGATGACGTTGGTGGAGAAGCAAATGGTTTTGAATATTGACGTCATGATTCTGAAGGAATTATAGAGGGAAAGTGGACAGAAGACATCAAAACTGTGCGGGGCTGCCAATTTTATAACTAAAAAGAGAAGAAAAAGAAGGCACTAGAATCAAGATGTTTAATTGGTTCAGGCAAATTCAAATTCAGGAAAAATGCGTCAGATTCGAAAATCAAGAAAGTTACTGATTAACTCTAGATCATGGTTTGTTTTGTTTGCAGACACTTCTTCTGATTTGTCCTATCTCAAAGTACGGCCACATCCACGTAACCTGTTTTTAATGCAACTAAACTGTTCCAACGTTGACTAATATGCTAATTTTATTCAAATTCCAACCTCGCGGAGAAGGTCAGATCGTTTTTTGTTGGTAAGTCTGACCGGGAACAAATGGAAAATTTCATGGACAACGGAAAATAAATGTTTGCAGAAGAGGAACTTCCAGACGATCAATAATGGAATGCGATATCGTAGGAGACAATCCAATTAATCGTGTGAGGAATCAAAATGATACTATACAGCCGGAAAACGATGGATGAAGAATTGCGATTTACGACAAAGATCACTTTCAAAGAACCTACATTTCGATTTAGATAAAGTGCTGTACAGGTCATGGATTTCTTGTGGAGATTGGACCTTGCAAAATCGGTGAAAAGCTGGTTACGATCTCGAAACATTTTTACACAGAAAAACTCCATATTACAGATTTGCTTTGTTTGGATACCAGCAGGGATGTTCAGAGCGGTCTTTCGGAATTTTTCGGAATGTCAAAAATTCCGAGTTTCAAAATTTCCGAATTTCGAAACTTTGAAATTTCACTTCCCCATCAAACAAGCTCAAAAAGTTGACCAACAAGTTACGAAAACGCAGAAAAGTTCTGAATTAATTCCGCTTGAGACCTGCAAAGAAACTTTCGGCGCCTTTGATATACTGTAGTTCAAAATCTCCATCCCCAAAAAAAAGCATCAGGTAAATTCCAAAAATGGTCAGAATTTTCGGAATTTTGGGATACTCCAAGTTCTTTCCCAAACATCTCTGGTTTGGATACAAATCTTTTAATGGAAAGTGGCAAATTTTTCTGCAACCATAGATCAGAGGATCCTGATTCCACCTACGTGTTTTGGATGATTCGGAAAATTTGTTCTGATCGGATCGGATCATGCTCGATTTTTTTGGTTAAGATCCTAAAAGTGCACCTAGAGCATTTTTGCCGTAATGGCTAGAAGGTAGTCTTCCTACTTCTGGTTAAAATCCTCATACTAACGAAATTTGGTTAAAATATTGAAAAAGTGTTTCGATTTGACAATCCCACATCGAACTCAAAACTTGTTGTCTGGTACTTCCGAAATGATTCTGATCTTGAAACATTCAATCTAAATTTATTTATTTTTATCTTATTCAAAGATTGATTCGAGACGAGACTACAAAGCTAGAAAGCATTAAATCACCCCTGGGTGGCTTTGAATTGCGTAAATATAAATATGCATCAAGAAAATACCCTTTGCAAGGGTAATCGAATAATCAGAGAGATATGTAAAGAATGAAACATAGTTCGACTATCGAGTACAAATTTTAAAGAACTGCAATGAATGAATATAGAATTTTATGGAAAGAAGTGGTGGGGGAAACATCTGAAAATAGGGCTTTATTGTTATTAAGTTGTCAGAAAAAGTGTTGCAGAGATTAGATGAAAGGATGATAGTCAGAAAGTTGGGGTTTAGGATAATTTTCGAATAAAAAAGAAAGGCAAAAAATTGAGATAAATCAGAAGTTTCGAAAATACAGCTTGAAAGCTGAAAATACTGAGACCTTTTGGGTTGGAGTAATTATTGTGGTCATGTTTGGCAAGGCTGTCGAAAACAAGGCCAACAGTTTCTGAGTGGCTGAGCTTA